AGATCCTCAGAGAGTTCTTTGCCATGAGGTGCCATGTTGAACTTCCAGTGACCAGTATGAGAGAGTGAGAGCGATAACACCAAATTTAACACACCTGCTCCCCATTCACACCTGAGACCATGTAACACTAATGAGACACATGACACCGGGGAGAGAAAATGGCTAATTGGGCCCAATTTGGACATTTTCACTTAGGGGTATACTCACTTTTGTGGCCAGCGGTTTAGACATTAATGGCTGTGTGTTGAGTTATTTTGAGGGGACAGCAAATTTACACTGTTATACAAGCTGTACACTCACTACTTTACATTGTAGTAAAGTGTCATTTCTTCAGTGTTGTCACATGAAAAGATATAATAAAATATTTACAAAAATGTGAGGAGTGTACTCACTTCTGTGAGATATACTGTGTGTATATATATATATATATTTAATTTAAAAAAAAAACTTTGCAAGTAAGAACTATGATATGACTCGTGACTTAATTTTACAAAGTTTTTGAGAAATCAAGCAGAAGTAAAACCCATCCACTTACCCTCTAGTTCACTTATATTGTGCTCTTCCTTCCAGTGCCGTTTTGGAGAGTCAGAAGAAAGAGTGGTGGGTTCTGCTGTCATGTTCTCCTCATCCTTCATGTCTTTCCTGCACTCTTGCTCCTCATCAGAGTTTTGCTCTTGACTTGACTGGAGAGTATGAGTGGGTGCAGTGGGTAGAACAAGATCTGGATGCTTGGCAAAAATCTCTCGAAGAATATTAATGGGAGAAAGCGTGACTTCCCAGTTGGTGATGCCAAAGTCTCTGAGATGGGCTCGGGCATGACTGGAGAGACCAGCTCTGGTGTCAAAGCCGGCACTGCAGAACTCACATCTCATTACGCTGAAGGTCGACGGGTCAAAGTTCGCAACTAGAGGTAGCAATGGAGAGAAGAGCGTCAAAACAAGCCTTTGGTTCTGTGTAGCAGGCAATTAAACTTTAATGAGACATCAAGTTAATAAACATTAACAAGGTTACATTTACATTTAAAAGCATCCTCACCTTTTTTCTTCTTTTTCTGGTAGGAGAATTTTTTCTCAATGGCATTGACCTCTTCCGGAGAGATAAAGTGCCTAACATTGTAACTGACACCCACTCTGTTCAGGTGACCCCTAACATGATTGGCTAGTCCAATGCCATTAAGGAATCGATCTGGGCAATAAGGGCATTTTCTTTCCACACTCTTCAACAACCCCTCTCTATCATCATCTTCATCATCTTCCTCAGTTAATGCGTCAATAAGACGACTAACAACATCCTCTTCATCTTCGTCATCATCAATATCATCATCATCATCCTCTAGTTTTGCAGCAACAAGTGTGTCTTCTCCGCTCTTCTCCTGACAATCAGATTTGTCTTCTTTGTGTTTGGGTTCCTCCTCCTGTGCTTCAAGCTTTTTGCTGTTTTTCTTTGGCAAGGAGGAGTTGGCTTTGAGATCAGGATCACTGGCAGGTGGCTCCGTCTCTGGGGTGGGGTGGGGTTAATGTGGAGTGTTACAGTTTTCAACAGTTATAAAAAGAAAAATACAATCAAGACCAGTATTGCACAATTTAATGGTTAAATGCAAACAAAATGTATGTGGGATGCAATGATAATGGTGACAAGCTGAGTTAATGGAATAGTTGACCGAAATGGAAAGTCTGTTATCTTTTATTCACTCTCATGTTGTCCCAAACTTGAATGACTTCCTACGAAACATGAAACAAGATATTTTGAAGAATGTCCATGCTACTTTTTTCTATACAACAAAAGTTGCTCCAAAAAAGTAAAAAGTGTTGTGAATGTCCGTCAGAATTTCTCCTTTTGTGTTCCATGGAAGAAAGATTGTCATATGGGATTGGAACATGATGGTAAGTAAATGATGACATAATTCTCATTTTTGGGCTCATTGTATACAAAAGGAACAGTTTGGCCTGGCTACTCTGCAACCGTTTAAGATCTCTGTGGCTCTGCTCATCACTCACCCATCACCCTGCTGCATGAGGGGAGTTTGGAGGTCAGAGCTGAGAGACTCTATGTGGATGAGGGGTAACTCGTTTCTTAGCTGGGCTTGCTGCCCCTCAAGCAACCACAGCCTCTCTGCTGCCCCTTGGAGGCTGGCTGAGAAGCTGCTCTTCAGCTGCAAGGCCAGGGCAGGTACCTCCACAGAGTCTGCAGGGGAAGGGACCAGGTTCAGACCAGGGTGAAACCTGGGATTTCCCCAAGTTTATGGCCAAGCATGACTCAAGTGAACTTCTAGAATTTCAAGGCTTGCCATTTGCCCTCCATTCAAGTATTGGTCCTTGATGACTATTGCCACTGACTGGGTTAACTGGGTTGTAGGAGGTTATTCTCCTACAATAAAAATGTAAGAAAGAAAGTCTGTACACCACCAACAGTGGCTAATAGTGAGCATCGGCCAATGGAACAGGAAGTAACACCTCACAATTATAACTGGCCAATGGAATGGGGAGAGTCACTACACTCCTTTAACCAGCGGTCACTCAAACAGGGAGTTGCACTACACAAATATTGGTTTAAGGATGGTTCTGGCACATCAAATCCAGGCATCACAATAACACAACAATACATGTAGTGCACACACACGTATACATGCTTCACTACAAGACAAAAGACGGTACAGGTAATGTATTTATTCAGATTTTGCCTATATGAAATTGGAATTGTGAAAGCAAATTCTCATTGTTCTATTGAGGTGGTTAATGACAGTATTATTTCATGTGACAATGTTATAAAGAGATGGTGAGAAATTGATGAAAAATGCAGACCTTTCTGAAAATACATTAACAATTTAGTAGTAAATATATCATTAGCTTATTACATTTTTCAGCCTCTCTTTTTCAGTATGTAAATGTTGCACTGGTAAGTATAATGTATCTGAGCAACTTTTAGGGCATTCAAGTTGTATACAGTGTGTATATTACTGTTCTCTGAGCACTGAAGTCTTGCCATTGTTACCACCTTGCCAATTTAGCTACAAGGCTACGCACTGACTTGTCTTGGTGTAATAACCTGTTATTGACTTACCTGTTTTGGAGTCTTGTTTTGGATCATGTTCTGGTTCTGGTGTTGGAATGTCTTCTTTCTGGCACTTATCTTCGGTCTGGTTTGAGATTTGGACTTGTTTTTTCATAACGGGAGTAAGGGTGGACTTAGGATCTAGTCTTGTACTCGCTCTTGTGCGCCCCAGTTTACCCCTCGCAGCCCGGACTGAGCGTTTATTCCCTATACTCTTGAATGCCACATCCTTACGCCGCGGAGCAGCCCTGAGATTTGGCGGAGACGACATGAGATGCTGAGGTTGTGGAACATTCTCTTCCACAGGCTTATCCACAGTTGCCCTGGGCTCTTCTGTTTGTCTCAACTCCTCCGCAGGCTCTGTATTTTCATGCAGAGTTGTATTATCAGGTTGCTCTGTGGCCTCTCCTGGGGTTGCAGAAGCACTTTGACAAGACAACGAACTAGAGTCCACCTGTGAAGTGCCACTTTCAGGCTGCGTTTCTTTAGATTTTTTGGATGCCCGGATGGGGTACCTCTTGTTGAGAGGTGATGTGGCAAGAGTTGACGTAATATCTGCAGAGGACTGAACTTGTCCTTTCTTGCAGGACTTCTGTTGAAATCGGGGTGAGGTTCGATAGACACCAGCTCTTGTTCGAGTGTTGTGTGTCTTGGCATGCTCAGCAAGTTCTTGAGGCAAATCGGAGCTAAAATTGCACTTAAGACACACAAACTGACTAACATCTGTTAACTCTTGGTAGGCTGGCTCTGATGCCTTACTGCAACTGGCTTGCTCTGCCACCTGCTTATCCCCCTCTTTTAAGTTTCCAATCTCTTCAAGGATTTTCTGCCGTGACTCCTCATGGCATCGCTGATGATCTAGCAGGAGTACCTCGTCTACAAACTCCAGACCACACTCTATACATTCAAAAGCATTTTTATTAAGATGTCCACTCCTAGAGTCTTTTTCTCCACATTGCCATTTCTTCCCAGATCTACCAACCTGGCCATGCTCTTGCATGTGTTCAAGTAGATGGGTGCGTTTTTTGAAGTAAATGCTACATTCTACACATGTAAAAATCTCTTGTGAGAGGTCTCCATCCAGTTGGTGCTCTACTACTGACCTCTGTCTTCCCCGTACCTTCTCTTCCTTTTCCTTTTTAAATTCAAACATCCCTTCCCCAACCTTTGTGGTTTTCTTACGCTCCTTTGCTCCCGAGGGTTTTCCTCTGGTCTTCCTGCCGGCTCCCTTTGTGCTCTGCCAAGTGTCTAAGCCAGAGAAAGGCCTCAATATGGCCCTCTTCTTTCTTCGGCGTTGGATGAAGGTGCAGTGTGCCCAAGGTCCAGGTGGTGGACTTTCTGGCTCAGAGTCTCCTGGGAAGGTGTATACATCTGGCTCTTTGGTGATCTTCTCTTCTCGCCCTCTACTATTAAACATTTTCTGCTCATCTTTCTTGTCTTTTTGGCATCCCTCTTTTGGTGTAGTATCTGGTAGATGGCTCACTTTGTCTTGTTCCACTGCAAGTAAACAGCAAAAGGCTTTATTGACTTAAGTAGTTTTTTTTATATATATGACAGGGTGTTATTGACATGAATCAAAACATGCATTGAGGTACTTCAAGCTTTTTTTACGTTTTGCTGTACGTTTAGATAGGCTGTAGTCTGTAGTTTTCGTCTCCTTGTATGTAACATCTCCTTGATTCTCCACCTTCAGGGGGGCAAGTGGGATCTTTTCAAGAAATAATTGCTTGGTTTCCACAGGTTCTTGGCACGGATCAATGTCAAATCTGCAAGCATAAGGATAAAAATGGATGAATAGGTTACAGCTTAATATCTGTTTCCATCAAACCCTTCAATGTAAAAAAAAAAAATTTGATGAATGCACTTTTCTATAAACCTGTTTTTCCGAATGATCATCTGTATCTCACCTGTCTTCTTGTTGTCCAGAGGTGGGACTTCCTGGGCTGTGAGCAGCCAGACCATGAGGGTTAGAAAAGTGCTGAAGTTCTTCCTCTGACATAAACCATTGGAATCCACACAGAAAGCAGTAGACTCACAGTTATATTTACAGCATGTAGACAAACCATTAACACTGTTCACAGAGAGACGAGTTTCACAGTACAAACACACAATAGTTCTGAAACTAGCTGAATCATTGCAGATTCTCATTTCTAGTCGGTCTGAGTTTCTTACACTTTTAGTAAAAAAGGTACAAAAGCTTAAAGAGTGCATATTGCTACCTTAAAGATACATATTAGTTCATAAAGTGTACATATTAGTACCTAAAAGGAACAAACGTGTACCTTTTTAAAAAAGTACTGCCCCAGTGACAGCTTTTGTACCCTTTTTTTCTGAGTGTATGATTCAGACATGCATTTTTCACTGACTTGAAAGTAAGAATGAACTAAAGAGACAGTTACCATCCAAGGTTTCTCTCTCCGAGTCCGAGTCCCATGTGAGAGATGAGGGGAAGGCTGAAGATCGTGGACTTCTCTGTACTTTACTACAATGCTCCAGTGTGGGGAAAAAGCATTTTGGACCATCTGAATCTCCATTTCCATCACCCTTCTCCATGTCATCACAATGCAATAACCCCCCCTGTGAGTTCAGAGGGTTGAAACAAGTCCAACATTACATAGTTCTGTTTAGGGAAGAAATAAAATGTTGCACGATTCTCACACAGGTGTACACTGATTGTTAAAAGATAGGAATAAAAAATGTATATAATCACTGTAAAATATAATTAAAAAGTATTAAACTGTATCAAAGCAATGTCTCCCACATAGTTTTTAAATTCATAGAGTAAAGGTCCTTGCACACTGAGTCCGAAATTTTCGTATGCGTTTTTTTTTTAGATTTTTTTGTCGTATTCGTCATCATTTCCTATCAAAATGCTTGTTACGGATGCGAAAACTCAGAAAATCGAACCTGATCCGATTTTTTTTATGACGGATGAAAGTTTCGGAGGCAGTGTGTAAACATGATTGACACAACGTGAGGTCGTATTTATTTTTTAACGTGCGAAAAATTCGGACGAAAATTTCGGACTCTGTGTGCAAGGAGCTTAACAGTTTATTTTCTATTTTATAGTTATAGTATAGTTATAATGTTTATTTTCTATAAGCTAAGTCTGTTTTCTTCTTTCATTGCAAAAGTGAATAAATTAATCCAAAAAGAAAAAGGGGAGTTAAATGCTGTGTCCCAAATTGCATACTATCCTTCCTGAATAATACTATTCCAAAATAGAATTAGTGTGTCTTAAATATATGTTGAAATTAGTATCTACAGTACAAACACAAATAAAAAGTAACAAAACAAAAAAAAAACTACAAACATGGCGGATATAAATGCGTCATAATGCAAACACATGAGAGCGATTGGCACAACAGACCTGCAACTGGCAGATCAACATGCTGCTTCATTTATAATATTGAAGGAAATTAAATGAAACTTAATGTGGAGGATTTTAACTGTGAGAAGATGATTGACAGGGCAGTTTAAACAGATGCATGTAACTAAGTAACACAATTATGATGAACTAGTATGTCCCAAAGCTTGTCTACTACTACGCTACATACTCAAAAGTATGTATCTTTCTTCACAAAAAGAATACATATTTTTAGGGCACAGTATAAGTAGGTGAACTGGTAGGTGCCTTGACTATACCAGGAATGTGCAGCTGAGTAAGGAGGTGGATGTTGAAGGCAGTAGCCCTTGGCTGGACATCAGATCTTGGGGGTCCCTGGTCGAGAGATCCTCCTCAGGCTCCATGGTCCCCTGGTGCACTAGCTTGGGTGCAACTGCTGTCCACCTCTCCTGTCCTACATTATGAAGAGCAATTCCATTTCTGGACAAAAATACAAACAACTAAGATGCAATCTGACCTTATGCAAGCATAGACATGGACCTGAAGCCTCAAAAGTCAAATTATTATGGGGTCTTTAAAGAAAACCTCTAGATTAGAAGAAAACTTGCAAGATGTTTCGAGAGGTTAATTTGGCGATTAATTAGCTATAGTGTTCTGTGCTATCCAACCTTTGAAAGAGTGCATTTTAATAACTAAAATCTTTGTGTTTAATTCCTGAGGAGTGTTACTCTGACTGACCTATTTTATCGTGCCTCATTTCCTATGCTGATAATATCGAAGGAGGCTGTTTTTACTGGGGGGTGGAGGAAATATATCGGCTCCCGAAATAATGGGGCTCGTCTATGCAGTTTGCATGCGTTTATAACTTGCGATGTCAAGACTGGACTATCAGCAAACGCCGTCCTTCTCCAGGAACACAATCTGTTAAACATCTCTCTGGATGTGTGCGGCGAGGATGGAATTGTGCAACACTCACGGAAAGCGGCCTGTCTTTGGAATCTTCTGCGTCCAATCACATCGCGCTCTCCATGTCTTATATGGATTCAAGTGGTACACACGCACTGACGCTTATAGAGCATGTGTGCGTTGCGCTTTCCCGCAGGAGCACCGGGAAAAGCATATAGGTTTAGCAAACGCTGAAGACCGCCTTTGCGACTCTAAACACCGGACTCCATGTTGTTAGTTTCGGAGGGATGGTGACGTTAGTGGGGAGGGGAAAGGAGTTTGTGTATCAGCCACGCTGTAACTCTTTCACGGCAGGTTGAGAGATGAAAGACAACCTGATCAGTGCGCTAACAGCGGCGTTGTTGCGTGCGCGGTGCGGAGCGCGGACTACTTCAGTACATAAAGCGCGTAGATGACAAAATGGCATTCATTTTAAGACTAAAAATAATGTAAAATGCTAGTTCAAAACTGTATAATAATTTAATAATTTTAAATACACATTAAACATATATAAAACTGTAAAATAGAAAATATTTTAATGTAAAAATGTAGTATTTATACATAATATATGTATTTATAAGATTTTTAAATGTCAGCTGTTATAGGCCTAATTCTGCTTTATGAATGTGTAAAATCAGTCACTTGCATGATAGACTAGGCTAATAATAATATGTCCGTCTGTCTATCTATTCTATATGTCTTTAGCAATGTTCAGTCATGTACATAGATGACTTTAATATGCGCAAATAGTGTAACTACGCATATTTTAGCACGAAAATGCCTTAGAGAACTTTTAAAGTTCTGCAATTATTTAATATAAAGTTTAGAAATATTAAAAATATATAAGTAAAATCAAGCTGCATTTATGGTGAATTGATTCAAAACAGTTTTAACTTGAACCGCAGCATAGTTTTGTGAATAAACAAAATCATTTTAGCTAGGCTACATTTGCTGATTATATTCTAACAATGTAAAAATAGTTGATGTGATCAAAATAATGTACTTGAACTATCATTTTGTAAAGGAACTTTTCTTTTGACCAAAATAATTCAAGGAAAGTTTGATTTTGCCAGTTTGCCTTAAATTACTTGAAAAGATTAATTTCTCATGTCATGAGAGAAAAAAGAAACAATAAATATGATTTTTATTATCCATTTATTAGTGATACATGTAGTACATGTACTGTTTTCCAGAGACACAATTAGTTGTTCATTGTTGATGCCACAGTCATCAAGGCAAATAGCTCTGTAGAGAAAAGCAGAGAAACACACACAGAGACACCGTTATGGTCTGAACTGTTACCACAAAGCATTTTGAGAAGTCAGAACCTCATAAATACAATAAATCCCAAGAATCAACAATCTTTTTACCTCCCAATGAGCCCAATTCTGGATTTCACGGTAGAGGGAGTTTCCTGGGCATTCTGTGGAATCGGCTTGCCTGTGTCCGTATAAGTTGTAATATGAGGACAGTCGGCCTCCGTTCACAGCACAGCTTGTGAAGTCGTACCTCACCATGTCCAGCGCAGTCTTGATGGGGAGGGTGGAGGTATAATCTCCAATGAAACAGACACCATAGCTTATGGAGTTGTATCCGTAAGCGCGGGCACCGACCCAATTCCAGCCTCGGCCTACCATCCATTGGTTTGCTGGTGGTAGTGCTGCATGGAGCGCATGTCACTGGCACATTGATCAAAGGTGGTGCAAGGCGTGGAGGGTTGATATGTGTGGTGTTTGGTTTCTTTTATTTATTATTATTTTTATTACTTATTTATTACTTAGAAAATACAAAATTAAAAGTAAATATTGTTATATTAAGGCAATTTATTTAAATAAATATATTTAAAATATTTTTGTATTAGAAATTACTACAAAATGGTTAAAATAATAAATTAATCAAAGAATAAATAAATATGTTTAATTACCAGCATACACATGGACAAACTGGTCAAACCCTTCGTTAATAACGTCATCCAGCCTCAATCTTTTTACCTCCCAATGAGCCCAATTCTGGATTTCACGGTAGAGGGAGTTTCCTGGGCATTCTGTGGAATCGGCTTGCCTGTGTCCGTATAAGTTGTAATATGAGGACAGTCGGCCTCCGTTCACAGCACAGCTTGTGAAGTCGTACCTCACCATGTCCAGCGCAGTCTTGATGGGGAGGGTGGAGGTATAATCTCCAATGAAACAGACACCATAGCTTATGGAGTTGTATCCGTAAGCGCGGGCACCGACCCAATTCCAGCCTCGGCCTACCATCCATTGGTTTGCTGGTGGTAGTGCTGCATGGAGCGCATGTCACTGGCACATTGATCAAAGGTGGTGCAAGGCGTGGAGGGTTGATATGTGTGGTGGATGAAAAGGTACGGCACAGGGAGAGACAGATAGGAGGGTGAACCAATGAAAGCTGCAGCTCCCCATTGAGACCTTGTAATGATGTTGGGACAGACTGTTTTTGGGAAGAAAAAAATGAGAAAAGATGAACACAAAAGTGCAAATTTCCAATTAAAAGAATGTAAATTTATCACAAAAAAAGTGGTTTGCTTGGTAGTGCTTGAATTATATTATTAAAAAAAAAATGTATGAGTAAAAGAATGTAAGCCACAGTTTAAAATTGCAAAAGAATTGAGGCATTGTAAAAATTATAAGAAATAATATAAACATTTATTTATATCAATATACAATATTTAAAATATTTTATAAGTAATAACTAAATATATATACTGACTGATCAGACGGGGCGATGCGTCAGGCTGGTGGCGGTAGTAACTCTTCAGCAGGTCACTCAGTGATCGCTCACGATGGTTAGACGTGGAAACTTCTGACCCGAGAATGAACCCGTCTATGCCTCCGATTATTAGAGCGTCTGTGGCCAAGGAGGGCAAATCAGAGAGAGTGTAGACCTTTGGGGATGAAATGCTATCCCAGAACCCTTTAGTGCCAAAAGGAACAGTGGTTTGCTCATTGTGGACGTGATGTAGAAATGAAAAATAATAAATTAATCAAAGAATAAATAAATATGTTTAATTACCAGCATACACATGGACAAACTGGTCAAACCCTTCGTTCATAACGTCATCCAGCCTCTTCCTCTCAGACTCGTTTAAGTTGTGGCGAACTGTTAGAGCCTGGACCATCTGGCGTTTCAGCAAAGAGAAGCTGACGAGCTTTTTGAAGTTCATCCTTCGTTTCTGACTGATCAGACGGGGCGATGCGTCAGGCTGGTGGCTGTAGTAACTCTTCAGCAGGTCACTCAGTGATCGCTCACGATGGTTAGACGTGGAAACTTCTGACCCGAGAATGAACCCGTCTATACCTCCGATTATTAGAGCGTCTGTGGCCAAGGAGGGCAAATCAGAGAGCGCGTAGACCTTTGGGGATGAAATGCTATCCCAGAACCCTTTAGTGCCAAAAGGAACAGTGGTTTGCTCATTGTGGACGTGATGTAGAAATGAGGCGACCAGGTTGTGGGTCAAGGTTAAAGGGTAAAGGCCTTGGATGGTGGACTGCAGCCCAGCCTCAAGTCCGAGGAGCATTGGGGCCAGCGCCACATTTGAACCATCTAACGTGAGAACCACACCTTTCTCCTTACCAGACTCTGACAGGCTGTGATTAATGACCTCGCTTACATATGAAGTGACTGATGGATCTGCCACAAGGTCATGTGCATCACTGAGGTCACCGAGGTATCGCTTGATGAGCTCGGTTTCAAAGCCAGCAGCCTTACGTAGACCTTTCACCACATCGAGCATCTGAAGACCTGGATTCACAGCTTCAATGCTCTCCACAGCTCTGATGAAGTCCTTCATGTGCTTTGTGGTGGTGGCTGATGGGAAATGAGAGGGAAATCACAGAAAACAAGAATATTGTTATTTTTACTCAACCACAGACATTAAAGGAGTCATTTATGAATATATCAAAAAATTATAAATTTATAGAAACCAAGCAGTAAAATCGACCCATGAGAATACCAAATCTCACATATCTAGTAAATTAATTTAAGACAATCATAAATTTCACCGACGTCAATCTTAAAATATTGCAGGTTCTTACATTTTGCCATGAATGTCAAAGCAGAGTTACACAAAGAGTCACATAAATTACTTTTACTATACTTTCATGGTACTTTATTTGATATTTTTTGACCCTATTGAAAAAAAGAGTGCTGACATTCTTCAAAGTGTCATTCATGGCCAGCGAAAGTGTTTGAAATGACACTAAGGGTGAAGAAATTACATAACTGTAACTTTTGAGTGAACAAAGCATTGGTGACATATCTAGTGCTTGTACACATAAATGAACCTGTAATTATTCAGCGTAGTGACTAGAAAACTGAATATTTGACTTACCTTCAGCAGCAAACACCACAAGCAAAGAAAGAAGCAGACGCAAATGCCAATCCATGAGGACAGAACTTGAGAGCACTGAAGAGTCTCTGTTCACTCGGTCCGGTTATGCATCTACCCTTAACTTCATACGCCTTATAAATACATGCTAACACTTACGTAAGCACATGCTGATAAACTAGTGTGTTCCATGATATAAAGATTTAGCTTTGACAAAGTATCAGATGCTTTCAATCTGTCTCAAATAAACTTGCAGTTGAATAAACCACCCATGATACTGATGAATATGTCAAGAATCTTCAATACTTACATTACAATAAAGTCTATTGTATTGTAAAAGTGTAAGTAAATGACGGTATAGGGGAAAAGTACACTTAATTTGAATTATACGTAACACTTTACAATAAGGTCCCATTAGTTAACATCAGTTAATGCACTAACCAACATTAACAGTGAGCAATACATTTGTTACAGTATTTATTAAACTTTGTTAATGTTTATTAGCAAAAAACACTTGTTGATTATTAGAATAAATTAGCTCAGATCCATTAGACTTGATTTTAATAATGTATTAGTAAATGTTAACATTAACAAGATTAAGAAAATATTTTTCATTGTTATGTTAACTTATGTAGTTAACTAAAATTAACAAATGTATATTGCAAAGCATTACTGATTTATGTTTATATTTATACTACAACACCCATTTCAAACCTTTCTTAGAGAAAGTGTTTTCTTATTGCTAATAATCGTTCAGATATACTAAATTACAGCAAAAAAAAAAAAAAAAACAGTATTAGTTCTTCTTGTGAACAAGTGGAAACTGTTGATAGATAAAGCTTCTATTTTTTCCTTACCCTATATCAGAAAAGCCTTTGATATGCTTCATCACAAGGTAACATACCTTGCGATATGGTTTATCACAAGGTAAACAACATAACCAGTTCACAAAAATAGAAAAGTGGTTAGGATTTTCAATGACAGTCTGTAAAGTTTAAACTTTAAATCATATTTTACTTACTGATGAATCAAGACAATACTAAAATAGCAGGTCCAAAAATTCAGATTGTGGCTGTTTCATTTCAAAAATCGAAGTACAGAATCATGGGTATTTCTGATTATGAAACTGTGTAAAAAAAAAAAAACATATTTGTTCAGGGTGTTTTCATGCTGCTGAATCTTGCAACTCACTACCATGTTTTTAGATCAGAAATCAACTTGATGGGAGGCTTGAATCAGCACTAAATTCAGCCAGTTCCCGATGAATTTAAGCATATTAACTGAATTTTCTGCTTCACATATAGGCCTATCACATTGTGGAAGTAAAATTGGTCAAGAACAATGTTTCGTAATGACTTAAAAATATTTGACAATTTTTCTTTTCTGCAGGAGGAGCTGTTTTAGTAAACGGTTAAGAGCAGCTAACATTTGATTTTGAATTTGTATGTTTTGTATAATAAGTCAGTTTGTTATTATACAAGGTGTTTATCCATTACACCTCATATTAGGCCTACATCTGAACAAATGGCATAATGTACAACTACATATATATATATAAATTATAGATTTAAAATAAATATGTACTAATTCAAGCTGTTCTAGGTTAAAGGAATAGTGCACCAAAAAAATAAAAATGTATTGATTATATACTCGCCTCAATCCACTCAAGGTGATGTGACTCCTGCATGTGATGATGATTATGATGCATGTGATTACACTGTCGCTGTAAAGGTGAAGTGTGTAATATTGACAGCTAGCGGCTGAAATGGGCACTGCTGCAAATTCTAAATATTGGAGAGAGTCGTTTCCCCCTCTTCCTCATGCTCAGCCTCAGACTCCACGTTTACAACAGAGAGGGGGGACGTGTGTGCAGGAGCCTTGGTTTTAGTGTTGTTCATCAAAATGGTACATATTTTTTTTATTATCTTGGATGACTTTATGATGATTCAGCTGTAAACACAATGGCGTCATTTTACTATTTACTGTTGTAAATAACATTCAGCTTCCTACACAGACCGATCGTTTCACTTCGCAAGACTTCACTGTCAAAGTTACTGTATGCCTTAACTTGCCTTTTGTGAATCCCCAAGTACCATGGGTTCAGCTAAAAATCGTATTTAGCTACTGTTCTGCTGGAGAAAGAAAGTCAGAAATTCACCGACATCTTGGATGAGGGTTAGGAAACAAACAAGACATTTTCATTTGTGGATGAACTATTCCTTCAATTCATATCTTAAAAAAGAAGAAAAGAAAAAAAGATTCAGAAGCATAAAACTGAGACAGCCACAATATAAATTTTTGGAGCTGCAATATGTGGCATTGCAATATGTGACCCTGGACCACAAAACTTAAGGGTCAATTTTTTGACATTGAGATTTCCATTGATGTATGGTTTATTAGGATAGGACGATATCTGGCTGAGATACAACTATTTGAAAATCTGCAATCTGAGGGTGCAAAAAAATCAAAATATTGAGAAAATCACCTTTAAAGTTGTTCAAATGAAGTCCTTAGCAATGCATATTACTAATAAAAAAAAAAAAAAAGTTTTGATATATTTACGGTTGAAAATTTACAAAATATCTTCATGGAACATGATCTTTACTTAATATCCTAATGATTTTTGGCATAAAAGAAAAATCAATAATTTTGACCCATACAGTGTATTTTTGGCTATTGCTACAACCCGTGCCACTTATGACTGGTTTTGTGCTCCAGGATCACAAATATTTAACACGCAGCTGCTTATTTGTAGTAGTATAGAATAGAAACATAGTTTTGATCCCATGATAACTTATAGTGAAAAGGCTAATGTTGTTTAAATCAAGCTCTATTTCAGGATTTAAAATGTACCAAATGTCCATGAAAAAAATCGAACCATTTTTCTATTTGTTATGTTGTTTATCTTGTGATAAACCATATTGCAAGGTAAATTACCTTGTGATGAAGCATATCAAAGGCTGATGAGAAAAAAATAGAAGCTTTATCTATCAACAGTTTCCACTTATTCACAAGAAGAACTAATACTGTTATTTTTTCTAGACTAATTTTTAAAAAATCTCATTACTAGCAATAAGAAAACACTTACCTCTAAGATTGCATAAAAAGGAAAGGTTTGAAATGGATGTTATAGTATTTCTTAATTTTTAAGTCTCTTTGAATAATGTATCTGAAAGTATAAATGTAAACATAATTCAATAACCCTTTACAATAAGGTTCCATTTGTTAACATTAATTACCTGCATTAGCTAACATGAAAAATATTTCTAAACATTTACTTCATATTTTAAACGTTAATATTGTTAATGTTAATTAATTTATTAACTAATTTTATTAGGACCTTATTGTAAAGTGTTACGTATAATTCAAATGAAGTGTACTTTTCCCCTATACCATCATTTACTTACACTTTTACAATACAATAGACTTTATTGTAATGTAAGTATTGAAGATTCTTGACATATTCATCAGTATCATGGGTGGTTTATTCAACTGCAAGTTTATTTGAGACAGATTGAAAGCATCTGATACTTTGTCAAAGCTAAATCTTTATATCATGGAACACACTAGTTTATCAGCATGTGCTTACATAAGTGTTAGCATGTATTTATAAGGCGTATGAAGTTAAGGGTAGATGCATAACCGGACCGAGTGAACAGAGACTCTTCAGTGCTCTCAAGTTCTGTCCTCATGGATTGGCATTTGCGTCTGCTTCTTTCTTTGCTTGTGGTGTTTGCTGCTGAAGGTAAGTCAAATATTCAGTTTTCTAGTCACTACGCTGAATAATTACAGGTTCATTTATGTGTACAAGCACTAGATATGTCACCAATGCTTTGTTCACTCAAAAGTTACAGTTATGTAATTTCTTCACCCTTAGTGTCATTTCAAACACTTTCGTTGGCCATGAATGACACTTTGAAGAATGTCAGCAGTCTTTTTTTTCAAAAGGGTCAAAAAATATCAAATAAAGTACCATGAAAGTATAGTAAAAGTAATTTATGTGACTCTTTGTGTAACTCTGCTTTGACATTAATGGCACAATGTAAGAACCTGCAATATTTTAAGATTGATGTCGGTGAAATTTATGATTGTCTTAAATTAATTTACTAGATATGTGAGATTTGGGATTCTCATGAATTATTTTTACAATTTAACTGTTTATTTTACATTCTTTTACTGTTAAAATTATATTTTCACATAATTCAGTATATATGTATATATATATATTTAGTTATTACTTATAAAATATTTTAAATATTGTATATTGATATAAATAAATGTTTATATTATTTCTTATAATTTTTACCATGCCTCAATTCTTTTGCAATTTTAAACTGTGGCTTACATTCTTTTACTCATAAAATTATGATTTTTTAAAAATAATATCATTCTTACATGTATCACTCATAATAAATGCATAATAAATTCCTTTTAAAAATCTATTGTTTTTTTTATTTTTTTATACATGACATTAGACATGAATCCAGTCAAGTAATTTAAGGCAAATTGGCAAAAATCTAATTTGCCTTAAATAATTTTGGTCGAAAACAAAGTTCTTTTACAAATGCGATGACGTTCATGAACATTATTTTGATCAGACATCAATACCTTATTTTTACATGGTTAGAAATATAAGAACATAAAATCAGAAAATGTAGCTAATATGATTTTGTATATTTACAAATCTAACTATGCTGTGGTAGAATAAAATAATTAAATATCTTTTTGATAGCAAATACAATAGACTGTGTGTGTATATATAGGGCTGTGGAAAAGTATTTGTCTCTTGATTTCTTCTGTTTTTTTTGTGTGTGTATATCTCATACTAAATTGTTTCAAAAATAAAAACAAAATCTAACATAAAACAGAAAATACATTCTTTACATGATAATGTTATTTGTTGGAGCAAAAAAGATATCTAAAAGCATATGGGTCAGGATAGCCTGATAAATCATATACATTATGGACGAGTTTATATGTCTGTTTAATTGTTTTAAAACTTGTACAATATGACTCATGATGTCTCACTTTCCCCAGGAGCTGGTCCATAATTTATGC